GAAGTTCATGTCCAAATATTCAATAAAGCAGTTGTCTGGTGCTTTCTTATAACTTAGCTGAAAATGCCGTATCACGGCTTTTAATGCATTCCTAGCTGATTATGAGCAAGTGTTCCACAAGCTACCAAGATAGAATCCCTCTGTTGTGGAAATACTCACCGAAGTTTTAAACTGCTGTTAAACAACGCACAAAATTTGATAGATTTGGGGAGTAAAATTTCCAACCATATATTAATGTATGCTTAAAGTCAGGATCCAAGTAAGTATTTGGACAGATAACAAAAACCTATGAAAATGTTTCTGCTTGTTGATGTTTTTGTTTTTCCTAAAATGGACAATTGTCTGAAGCTCTCAGTGATTATATCAGGAAATGGGCACGGGTCATGACCTTCAAAATAAAACTGGCCAGATGTTTAGGTAGCCCGGTGTAGAGTTTAACTTTAGACATGTAGGCTAAATTATTTGTTGGCCTTTCTTGTGTTGAATTCGAAAAGCCTTGCTGTTTAAAAAAGCATTGAATTTTAAATAACTCTCCTGAAGAGCTCTTCAGGACCGGGACCTGACATTGCCATCAGCTGTTTCAGTTATTTTAGGCAAACTAACTGTATGAAGACACTTGGGTTTAAGACTTGTAAAAATTTCAATATATTTTCCCTTAGAGAGATAAGACTTGAATAATACTGACCAGAGATAGGTATAATAAGGAGTATGTTATCCCTTGACCCCTCGTAGTCTTTCCTTACTTTTGACCGGAACTAAGCAGTTGAAGTGTATCGAGCACTCCTGTTCATGTGGCTGTGATACAGTAATGCTTTTGGGCCACCTATCTACATCTAAGTGTTACTAATTAACTTATGCAGCTTGGGCCAAAGACCACCTATAGATACAAAAGGTGCCTGTCGTTAATTAGGGGGGAAAAAAGCCAGCCAATGGAAATTTTTACAACTTGCAACACTGCACTTATGTTTTGTAATTGCAGATGACCTTAATGTAAGCGGTATCATCATTGCTGTAGTATTTGTGGCTCTGGTAATGGCATTGTGTGGCCTTGGAGTATTTTATGCCCAGAAAAAGGGCTACTTTACAAGTAAGTAAAATAAACTCGCTCCTTCCTTGTGTCAAAAAAATATCTCTGCTGCTGCTGACTGTAACATGTCCTTTTTATGAAGGCTCTAACTCTTGTAATACTCTGTAGCTTTAGTACTATAACAGCAAACCTTTTTATTCTGCCAACTTCTACTTCTGCTGCTGACTGTAACATGTCCTCCTTTTTATGAAGGCTCTAACTCTTATAGTACTAAAGCTACAGAGTATTACAACAGCAAACCTTTTTATTCTGCCAACTTCTACTGCAAAAGATACTTCAGGAATGACATGGAGACATTTGTGCAGTTGCATAAGGCTACAGATAGCAATCTAGGGAAAGCAACGAGCCGAACCCTGGAGCCTCTCTGCTCTAGTTTTGAGAGGGAATGGCAAAGGCAGGCAACGTATACACAAGCCGTGCAAGTTCACTCCCGGGTTAAAAGGTCTGAGCAGCCGAGTGCTGGTGAAGGGAAAACTGAATTACTGGCTCCCTCTTCTGGGTCGTGGTGAAAATACACGCGGAGAAAGTTTGCTTTTAAGGATGCAAAAAGCCAGACACCAAGCAACACCCCCCGTAGCGTTTACATTAGTGCCTGTAGAGTGCCCGGTGTCGGGCTCGAGAGGCTCCTCTGCCTGGAAGTGACAGGCTCACGGAGGTGCTGTTTGAGCTTATGTTGGCTTGGAAGTTCATTTACTTTTGAAAGCAATCTAATCTTTCTCTGTTTAAACTCACTACACCAAAAAGAGGCATTTGGTTCAGAAACTCCTTCTAGAAACTGAAGACCCAAATAAGTTATGAACAACTACTTCAAAGAACTTTAAATCAGCTAAGTAAGTAAACTTCTTGTGCTAATTTCTTTTTTTTTTTTTTTTCTTTCAGAGGAAAGCTCTTCTCAGTAAGTATCTTGATGCAAGTTGTACACAAATCACTGCAAACTTCGCTTACATTGCTGATGATTTAGTAACTGTGATGATTGTTCAAGGCCTTTCTCAGGTCATTCTTGCAGAATGGCTTTTTTGAACACTGAAATAAACCTGATCCTACACACCAGCTGGTTCTCTTACTAGAACCAGTGGTCAGAAAATGAATTAAGCATTATTACTGTGATAAACATGCAGAGATGTGTCTTTTTACATAGTTATGGCTTACACCCCTAACTTGGCTACAGGCAGGCATTTGTCTCTTCTTCAAACTAGACAAAAGATGATCAGAACCAAACTGAACTGTCCTCATATCCATGCCTACAGATCATTTTAGGAAATGTTTTGTAAAAGTATGACTGGTGGAAACTTTCTGAGGATGCCTGTTCTACTGCCATGATACGGATTTTTTTCATGCACTTAAATTTCTTAGTAGCAAGTCAGAATTTCTCAAGCTATTTTAGTGCTCCCACACAAGGCTAAAATTGTGTGCTTCATTGGAGGCTTGCCTCCACACTTTTATTTATTTTCTTTTAAAAGTGTATCTTAGTACTTCTAGGTAACAGCAGGTAAAAAAAAAAAAGTAGTGTATTAAAGAGAAATGCAAATACTATTTAAAAATACTGTGTGACTTGTATGAGCCATGAACTAGACAAAAAGCCTAACTGGAAGACTTGAAAAGACAGGCTGGGGAAGATAATCTGGTTCATGAAATAGTGACAGCTATCCAAAAGCATTCAATGGATTTGTTATTGTAACTTTTTCTAAGAGGGGGAAAAAAGCCTAAGGATTGCTGGAAACCTGGAAAAATGCATTCATAAATAAGGTCCTCAAAGTGTTAAAACTAACACCAGAAAAGTCACTATTTAACCTGTGTTCCTTTCCTGTTCTCTTAACAGAAAGACGACCAACTATCAAGCTACAAGTGAAAAGGCAAGTATTTTTTCAGTAGCGTGTTTAAAGTTTTAGATGTCTTCAAAACTTGTTAGATGTGATGTTTTTGCACACATACACACACGCCCCAAACTGTACATGCCACCAATACATGGAGATACCTTATCTCTGCATTTATAGCTTCCTATTACTCAGTCTCAAGTGCCATACACCTATGGCACCTTGCTCCACACTTTGCCATCTTTTCCTTTACCACGCTAACCAGACTTTTACCTTGGTTCACCAAGGAAACCAACTCAGACACAGTCCAAGGCAGCAGTGAGAGAAAGACTGGGTCTTAAGTCCTGTAACATTAATGTGGGTCAAAATGTTTGGCTGAATATGGAAGCTAAACTTTAACTCCTTTCTTACCCCTTCCTCACTGAGAGGGCTCAAGAGCTTTAACTGCATGCACATTGCTCCAGCTTTTCAGATCGGTGCAAAAAGAATGGAGCTCCAACTACAGCTTCAATTAGGAGCAACTTTATTTCAGTCTGTAGTTTCAGGCTACATCAGTAGCCTTAAAAGCTTGCTGAACACCACCCATTTCTTTAATCAGAACAGAACGTACTAAATAGCACAAGCTTATTCTTTCACCTAGCGTGTATATAAGCAACTTACTGAGGCCACCTATCTGGTTGCTCTGAGTGGGAAGGAACAAACATTGAAGAGCTGTGGTATCCATTAATGCAGTTATAAACAAAGCTGTTTGACACTTGTATTTTTTAATAGGTTATTACTTCTATTCTATATAGCAATGCTGTAGACTTACCTGTCCAGAAAAGAGCATACGTTAACTAACAGTGCTTCAGGCATGCTCCTTTTCAATCTCAATATCTTAAGTTCCCTCTGAAATGTACACTAAACGTTAATCTTTGAACTATTACTTATGTAACCTTGTCTGCTTCATTTAGGATTTCAAGCATACCAAGTCCTTTGTTATTTAGAAGATTTCAGCCTCTGTGAGGGACATCAAATGACTACTTGTTATACAAAAGTATCAAAGGGATCTTTTGACCTCTACTCTGTAAATATTGTTTCCATGTAGGACATGCTGAAAGTAGAAATTGCCATGTTTAGATCTAGTCAACCTAACTGCTTCTGATGACTTTTTAAAAAAAACCACAAAACCCCCAAAAAAACCTTAAAAATAGAACTAAACTGAATACACAAGTCAATTTGTGTGAAGACTTCTGATTTTGTTCATGTACACGTGCAGCAATACAGGATTCACTCTTACAGCTTGGAACAATCTATTGAAATAACTTTCATGGATGACCTTGCTACCACTACTTCTACTACTTATGTCTCCACCATTGTCAAGGGCTCAAACTCTCCTGCAGTTCTGACTTATTAGTACCTTGACCATTGTGTTAGATTTGCCAAAGCCATCTGTAAGTGCATAAGTAGCTGCGCAGACATAAGCTCACTATCCTGACAGAATAAAGCTTCCTGTAATTGAGGCTCAAGTAGTGTTTTATTGTCAATACAAAATGGCTACAGCTTCCCTTCCACAAGGAAGTTATATCTCTGTAGACTGAATATGTAACTTATTCTAAAGAAAAAATCAAGCTGTAGTATTTGGACCCTGACTGTTGAAGTGTCACAAATAAATAATTCCTCAGAGCCTGAAGTGTTTGTGTCAGTGCTTCCATTACTGAAATTTAAATCTCACAACCTCATTAACAGGTTTCAGTTGCTTCTGTAAGAGTAACACTTCACTTGTGCGTTCATTGATGCAGTACAAAATTAGTATATTTGTGCCTATGTTTTAGGGTGTGCAGGTCCATCACTACCATAGGGCTTTCCTACAGATTTAGGGTTTGTGGCAATTTTTTCTGCAGCAGCTTTTTAGTTGTGACAAAAAAAAAAAAATAGTTCTTTCTTGGTGTATCATTATCCATGTTACAACTTCTCAGCACTAAGACGTAGCTTGGCAAAGAAGTTTTGCAGCTAACACTGAGAAACACTATTCAGATGCCTCAGATGGTTAAAGAGTTGACTACCGTAGCTAACTATGCTCACCATACAGTTAAGAACTTCTTCACGCTTCTGAAATCGAACTGAAACACTGCATTTATTAAGTTACAACTGGTGCCATGTTCAACAGCTCTAGTGATGTACACTGCTGTTTGGGGTACAACCTGCAGAGATCATTTTGGAGTCTCCTCAAAGTTGGGCTCTAAAGGAGGAAGGGAGAGAAAAGTCATATTAGTCTCTTTTTATTCCAGCCTCAAACACCACAATTCATCTGCTATTCAAAGAAAACTAAATATTAAGTTGGCAAGCTAAAGCAAGCTCTTCTACAGTGCAGTCTACGCCACCACTTACCTTGTTTGTATCAGGGTATGATTGGATGTGGGCAGCACTAAAGAATAAACTACGCTGGAGACAGTTATGCGTAAGGTTTAAGACAGACGTGCGCCTTAGTAACATTCTGCCAAAAGCTGTTTTGGCAACACCTGGGGTAGAGGAGAAAGCAGCAGAGAAACTGAAGGAGTCAACCAGAATGTTACTGGGCATGACGCTAGTTACTTGTTCTTATATCAGACCTGTGTTGGAAGTAACCAAAGCTATTCTTTCCTCTTGATTAGCATCTTACAGCTGATTAACAGAATGGAGTGCACAATTTCAAATCCACTCAGCAAAAGATGTTCTGCACATGCACACACTGAGGAAGGAGTTCTTGATGTCAAAAGTACAAACTCAGAAGTCTTAGGGCTTCTGACACGTGGGCTATAAACACCTGTTCTCCTTCCTATAAAGAGTCTGAGAGGTAAGGCTCAGCTTATAGTAATCTTCACCAAGACAAAAAAAAAAAAAATTTTCTACCCATCTAGCCCCTTGTCAAAGTTAGATTAAGGATAGGCAACAGTGGTAAAAGAACACTGTCTCTCCCCATTTGTTGTGGGTCCATAGGAACAAAAATTTTGTTTCATTATGAAAAAACTCCTAGACTTTAGTATGTATTGTTTCATATATTACACAGAAATAAACTGAATCTAAAGAAACCACATCCCTGAAACTGGGGGAAACGGAGAGAAATACCATAGATCCTACTTTACAGGCACTCTGTTTTTATTTGCACCAGTAACAGTCTGACACCAAACTCTTCTTTAATCCAACTGAAATACCACCAAACCCCAAAACATTTTTAGGTGTGTTCCTAGTCTAACTTAGAATTTCCAGTTAGTCTGATCAGAATTACAAGTCACTGACTGTGGTGGTGTGACCTTGGCTGGCTGCTAGATGGCACCAAGCCTCGTGCTCTCTTGCTTTTTCCCTCCCTCCCCAGGAGGGCTGAGAACAGAGACAGCATTTTTCACCCTTTTTTAGCTCTGTTGTCACATAGGTGCCACCAGCATGGCTGACTGGCTCAGATGTGTCCACTTTGGAGCCGGAGGGAACTGGCTCTGTCCCATGTGTGGACACGACCTGGCCTCTCCTGATAGAGCCCACCCCCGCAGCCCCCCACTACCAAAACCTTGCCATGTAAACCAAGTACACTGGCACACTGAAAAGATTGCCAAATCCCAAGCTACCAGCTGCTTACAGCTTATGAGAAAGGCAGCTTACTCCCCTGCAAAACCTGACAGTAGCTGTAACTGCGTGTGAGCAACGAAGACCTTGAGCTCTACTTAGATAAGCAAGCAAAAGAAATGAACTACAGAAATGAGCCTGTCCATAAAAAAAACTAAGTTGCCTGTAAGGCAGACAGAATCTGTGCAGTTTCTTTGCATTCTTGGTAAACCAATCGCTGCAAGCATTCTTCTTATCATGATCAGTCTGGGTAATATGCAAACATGCTACTGCAAACTCGGAGCATTTGAACAGAAGTCCTATCCAAATAACTGAATAAAAAGGTTTAATATAACTTAGTCACAAAGTAATCATTAATTAACAAAGTTAAGTTCTATGTTCATTTTCTGAAATCACCAATTTTCCAAATGAGCTTACAAGATTGACAGATTGCAGTTTGGATGACAAAGACAACTGGTTTTCAAATTATAGTCTGCTGGCCTCTTTGGGAAGATGAGGAAAGAATACAACAATAGGCCCTGGGCTATTTCTTTAGGGTCTGCAAAGAGTAATTAAGATAGCCCGATCTGACTGCAAGTTTTGTTATGCATCAGTTTAAGTCAGTCCGCGTCTCTACTGGAAAAGGCAAATAATCAAAAAAAGGAGTCAAACAGAATCAGATGTGAACAGTGTGAAAGTAAGGAGATTCACTGAGGGCACCTTACATGAAACAAATGGTCCAAATAAAAACTAAATGAGAATTAATTAAGAAAACCAGTCAGTGAACATGTCCTTATTTGCAACTAGAAAGTCAGTAAGATTGTTAACTCACCCTCAAATTTAAATTCTGGAAACTTGGTTAGATCTCCCTCACCATATGCCCGTTGAAGTCTAGCAAGGGATTCATTCATGTCTTTCTGAAACTCAGGGCCTGCATCAACAGGCCCTCCAGCTTGCCTAAAAAACATTAAAAGTTATGATTAACAGTTCAGTTCTGAAATGTCACGTGGAAGTTCTATGTTTTCATGCCATTTACAAATTAAGAACATTTCTGACAACCAACTAAAGCAAACCATTGAAAATATTTCCAAGGGTCGAGATATGACACCCCTTAGGGCCCACTTACCTTACACATAAACAAGGTTCTGAGGGCAAGGTACAGGCTTTCTACTGTCAGCGATGAAAAGCCAAGCTACAGAGGTAGCCTTCTGAGACACACAACTACACCAAGTACCCAGGCATTCAGGGCTCTCCATTTCACTTGTTCTGGGTGTGACTTCCTAACAAAATTGTGATTTGTACTTCTATTTCTGAATTAGTGATCTTGGTTAGTAAAGCTTAACTGTTCTTGCAAAGAGAATATGCTTTGAATACTAAACGAGCAAAAAAACCGAGAGACAGGACACCTTGCATTCATATAGATTCAGACAGGAATTTCATGGGATACAAATACAAAATAATTAAAATAGTAACTCTCTAGATTACCAGTGCTCAGTTGTACCAACACAGGTATCACTTATGATTGGTAAAGTCACCAAAAATATGCCTCCCTACATAGGCAAGTTTGTAGGTGTGGAAGCACACATCTTCCTTCAGTAGAACTAAGAAGTGGCTTATTTCCTTCCCAAGAATAAACTAGAAAAAATGACTATATAGTTTCCTGTTAAGTAGTTCATTCAAACGTTACAAGAATCTAAGACTCCATCTGAATGAAGTGCCTATTAACTTAAGAAGTTTAATGAATCAGCCTCACAGTTTCACTAATTCTCAGTTGCTTTTGGAAGCTATTTCCATTCAGCTTCTGGAAACAAGACTGAAGAACAGCTGCTTTCCCCAGACAAAAAAGTGGCTCTCTTGGTTTTTGGGGTTTTTTTTCCTATTTACAGAGTACATAGATGGGTAAAAATTAACATACTGGTATGTTCATGTAGTGTGCAAAAAAAGTTAATGGAATGCCTTAACTCCCCAAGAAGAATGACATCAGTGCTACTTTTTTTTTTTTCTTTTTTTAAGGGGAAAAAATGGACATTTTCTGTTAGGTATGCAAGAACAAGCCTTCTCACTTGTGACACTATCAATAAGTGTTGCAGGAAAGCATACCTCAAGTGTTTAGAGACCAACCTACAAAGCTAGTGTATTCTAGCATTTGTCAAAAATCAACATTTTTTTTCCCCCTTTTGCCTTCAGCCTTAAAATAATTTCCTTTACTTACTTGCTCTTTGTGTTGTATTCTCTGATCTTGTCCAAGAAGAGCTTCTGAACTGGATCGAGCTCTTTTGTCTTATTAAAGACAACAGCAGAAAGCCCTATGTTTCTGCGCAAGTGAACGGAAACAGCAGAGCGAAAAATGGAAGAAAGTCGCAGAATCTGATGCAGAATCATGATGACACTAATGCTTTGGCTAAAAAACACCAACAAAACAGAAACACAGAATTACTTCGCTCTTTCCACAATCTAAATGCATAAAGAAGCAAACAATTTAATTCAGAGACGAGCTTTACGGCAGCAAGAATATTTCAGGCAGCGTGCACTCCGGGGTGAAAACGCAAGCAGCCCCGGAGCCCCAGGAGCGCCGCGCGCGCCACCGAGCAGGCTGGTGCTGCTGCTCCTCCCCTTCAACCGCGCAC